CAGCAGGAAAATCTGACTTTTCCTTGAAATGAAATTGGAGAATCTCCAGGCTCTTGTCCAGACAAAGAAAAGACAGGTTTCAGTACCTCCAAAGAAAATACCATCCCTGAATCTGAGAACCCATCAGCTCGATTTCCGACAAGGGTTTGAAATCTTTAAGCCTTTCGTTCGAATTCGTCTTACGCCATGGATGATAGCTGCCTTAGAGAGAATGACTATATATAATACCCTTTCAATTCATTTCACCTTGTGGTATCAAAAAAACTTGGAATTTATTTTCTGTAAAGAAACAGATCGAGAAGATTTTAGATTTGTCTGAGTTCTATAAATAGTGAATTGTATTTTAATCACGCATATATCTAATATAACTGAATATACCATACATTGTTTATATAAAGAAAGTCAAACTTTTGATATGTGGCAGAACTTTTATTACGTCAATTAAATTTCATATTAATTACTGATGCACGATCCATTAGTGACTATACATCTCATGATAATTTTGGAAACTGAATCGTAGAGAAGATCTGAAAGCTGCATAGTTCTTATAGCGAGGTACTAACCAACAAAATCATTCGAACACCAATTCCACAACGATTCTTGGAAAAACTTTCAAAGAGTCGTGTCTCGCCTGAATACTATCAACCCCTTCGCTTTATATGTATGTATGTATGTATGTATGTATGTATGTATGTATGTATGTATGTATGTATGTATGTATGTATGTATGTATGTATGTATGTATGTATGTATGTATGTATGTATGTATGTATGTATGTATGTATGTATGTATGTATGTATGTATGTATGTATGTATGTATGTATGTATGCTTTGTATCGTGTATAAGTATCTGCATGTCTTTCCCCTTTTATTTCTTCTTATAAAAAAGTTGCAGTCAGTCCACTTAAAGAAAACTATGAAATGTAGGACCATACGATAAGGACGTGCACGGCTTGGTTGGTCAACCTCTCTCTATTTGACTTTTAACTCCGCGTTATATTCAGCCAAACATATAGGTTCATTTCCACTAATTATTATTTAGTTTGTTATCTGCGTGTTTACAAAAAAATAAGACAACTTTGTAGAAGTTATATGATTCTTTACGATAGTTTAATTTGTATTAACCTGGTCAAGGTATACGGACGTACGTACGGACCATCATAAGGGGATATGCGCTATATGTGAGTCATTAACGAATTCCATCGTACGTTAAAAAAAAAAACGGGCATCGTTTCCATTATGATGGAACTTCACCATGACATATATAAAACCTTACGGTGATCACCATTAACATATTTGGAATCACCATTCGCTTGGAGCATCGTTCGCAATTCGGAGAAAAGTCTTCCCTCTTCTCATATTTGCAATCACCTCTCCCATTTATTTTCTCTCTATTGTAATAGAAATTCTATACGTACAATTCTTTGGAAACGTTCTGACTATGAACCGGAAGAAAGAAAGCAATGGGAGTTCATCGACGGAGACAGCTGTTGGGGACAAGAACACCAAGAGAGGTACCGGCAACGTTGAGACAGAAGGAGGAAGGAGATCGGTTGTTGTAAGAAAGCTTGATGTCTTGCAAAGTGATTCCAGTGCATGGATTGCTTCTGCTGCACATCAACTTCACCGCTTGCTCTGTGGCCGATGTCCCTTGTATGTTCTTGAACGTTACCTGACTTATCTTCACCCCCGAATTCTGCATCCATTAAAGCTCGCGATGATGATAATGTTGATGTTGATGATGATGATAGGGATGATGATGATGAGGAGTTATGATACCTGAGAAGGGCAACCCTCGTGAGAGGGGCAATAGTTCTGATCGATGATGATAGGGTTTTGAACGTTTTTCATGATGAGATTTTGGAAGAAAACGTTCTTAACGAAACCATTGCTTGGCTTCGCCCACGACTTTATCCTCACTCCGTTTAGCGTCCCTGTCAACACTGAGCTCGACAATGTCACGTTCTGCACCCCTTCTTCGTTCAAGTCCTTCGCCAAGCTCCCAATGCTACAAACACATATCCATATGCTCATATTGATTTTGCATGTACATAGGTTATAGAAATCATCAGTTCGGATTAATGGAAGAAAGTGTTTTAAAAGACAGTGTATATACCTGACACCGTGACCAGGGCCACATGCGAGTTTAGACATGATAAGGTTGCGGGTCCCAGGGCCGATGGCGACACAGTCATCGCCGGTCTGTACGGTGCTGTCGGAAAAGGTGACGCCGGTGGAGAATTGGACGTGGAAGCCGTCGGTGTTGGGGCTGTCTCCGGGAGCCACCAGCTTCACGTTTCGGACGGCGACGTTGTTGCAGCTGTTGATCGCCAAATGTGTGATTTGACTGTTTAATGATGTCACTCCACTTATGATCACGTCGTTTGCCCAGTTGAACGTTATCGACTAGGAACGGAGAAAAATAAATTATTAAACCGATATAAATAACCGTTTTATTGACCAGAAGACAATGATTGAAGTGGTGATCTGTAACAATAATAAACGGAATCGTGCAACTTTGTGAAAACCCAAAAAAAAAGACAAGAAAAACATACCCTAACTCCGGGAGGACAATTCCGGCCTGATTTCCGGCAAGCCCAGAAACCGGCGGCACGAGCGTCGAATGTTCCTCCGACAAGTGCCATGCGATTAACCTTAACGAATAAGATCCAGTAGTCGGAGTTCCCGAAGGCCCGGTAGTCCGATGGAGCCACGACGGTTCCGTACACCTGAAACGTGATCCTGCTCTTGCACGGTCCCCGAAACGTCGCTGTTTTCAACAAGAATTGCCCGGTTGGGACCACCACGGTGGCGGCCGCAGCCGAACCGCAGGCCGACTGCCACGCC